CATCATCAAGAAGATCTGGAAGAGGACCAGCATGAAGCTCCTGGACCAGGTCATCCCTCCAATCGGAGGTGCGTGGGGCCCGGGGTCCGGGGTCCAGGGGCGGCTGAGGAGGGGCTGCGGGTCAGGGGGCCACACTCTGAGTGCCCGGCGAGGCACCGAGTTCCTCACTCCGACACCTGCCCACGCAGAAGCGACCCCTCGCACGATGGCCCATGAGACAGGTCCTAGGTGCACTTCCACCTCCCTCGGTCCATACCCTCTACCTCTATTAATACGGCCCAGGAGCCCCCAACCAGCTCAAGCAAAGCCCAAGAAAGGGGTTCCAGGCCTGGAGAGAATTCTGAGAGGGAGAGAGAGAGAGAGAGAGAGAGAGAGAGAGAGAGAGAGAGAGAGAGAGAGAGAATTCACGCCTGGGGATGGCCCAGACCCTCCTGGCCCTAAATACCTTGGACGGACCCCATGGCGGCCTCAGGCCAGGTCAGAGACAAGAGGGGTGGCTCCTCTGCCCCGACCTGGGGCTCCCCCGCCCTCCGGCTCTCCCCAGCCTTCAGGACACCCCTTGTCGGCCCCCCGCAGACGACGAGGTGACCGTGGGCAAGTTCTACGCCACCTTCCTCATCCAGGAGCACTTCCGCAAGTTCATGAAGCGCCAGGAGGAGTATTACGGCTACCGGCCCAAGAAGGACGCTGTGCAGATCCAGGTGAGCCGGCGGCTCCGGGCCCGTGGCTGAGCCAGGCCTTGGGGCCCCGCGGCCCCGCATCCTTGAGGGCCAGGGATGGAGGCACAGCGGAGGGGAGAAGGGGACCAGGGTGGAGACGGGACAGGAAGGCAGTTCTGGGGATGAGGGGGTGGCTGTGATGGGAGACGTTCCAATCTGAAGAGAAGAACCAGGAGCCGGTCCATCTCAGGGTGACAGGGTTTGTCCAAAGGGGAGGTAGGAGTTGGATGAGAGCAATATTCTCATGGACCAGCTGCCTCCTGCACGCCCCCCACTGGGGGTGGAGCCTGCAACCCGGGCCTGTGCCCTGAGTGGGAATCGAACTCTGACCTCCTGGTTCCTAGGTCGACGCTCAACCACGGAGCCAGGCCGGCCGGGCTGTTTCCAGTCTTTGGTGTCCATTATGATGCACATAATTTATAAATTCAAAAAATGCACATGCCCGTGGGTTGTGTGCCCATAAATATATTTCTACAGCAATTTTTTTTTTTAGTTTGAAACAATCTTACAATTTAGAAAGTTGCACACATATAATGCAAGAACCTTTTTTTTTAAAAAAAAAATTTTTTTATTTGATTTCCGAGAGGAAGGGCGAGGGAGAGAGGGTGGGGCCGGAGCCGAAGCCCCCGTTGCAAGGGTTAGAAACGAGGGAGGCCGTGGGGTGTCGTCGGGTCCCCCTCCTGGGCCGGAGGGGTCAGGGGGTCCCTTCTCCATCCCCCAGGCCGGACTGCGGACCATAGAGGAGGAGGCCGCGCCCGAGATCCGCCGGACCATCTCGGGCGACCTCACGGCCGAGGAGGAGCTGGAGCGGGCCATGGTGGAGGCCGCCATGGAGGAGGGGATATTCCGGGTGAGCGTGGGGGGGTGGGGGGGGGAGCCACCTATCACGGACGGGAGACCCCACAGGAGGGGGGCGTGGAAGCCGGAGACGCCCACCACCCACAGCTCTGAGGGCTCAGAATCCATGAACCAACTTCCTCGAGGGAACAAATATAACAAAACGCTTCCTTCCCCGCCTGCCCGCCCCACCAAGTCTCGCCCTTTCCTCCCGCCCCAGCCCCAGTCAGCCCTCGTCTCCCGCGAGCCCTCCGTGGTCAGATGCCCACCTGTCCTGGTTACCTGTGCTCCAGCCTCAGCTCTGTCTAGTGCCCCACGGCCCCTTAAAGACCGCCTGGCAAAACCTTCCTGGGTTCTTTTTTATTGATTTCAGAGAGGAAGGGAGAGGGGGAGAGAGAGAGAGAAACATCCATGATGAGAGAGCATCATGGATCGGCTGCCTCCTGCACGCCCCACACTGGGGATCAAACCCACAACCCAGGCCTGTGCCCTGATCAGGAATGGAACCGTGACCTCCTGGTTCATAGGTCGATGCTCAACCGCTGAGCCACTCCGGCCGGGCCCTTCTTGGGGTCTCCATGAGGAGATGGTGACGCAGGAGGGCACCTGCGATGTCCAATATCCCCGCCCAGCCCTCGCCCGGCCCGCGCTCAGTCCTCCCTCCCTCCTCCCGCCCCTAGAGGACCGGAGGCCTGTTCGGCCAAGTGGACAACTTCCTGGACCGGCCCAGCTCCCTGGCGCCCGTGCTGGCCAACCAGAGGCCCCTGCAGTTCTCCGACATCGAGATGGAGGAGCTGGAGTCGCCCGTCTTCCTGGAGGACTTCCCCCAGGACCCCAGCACCCACCCGCTGGCCCGCGCCAACACCAACAACGCCAACGCCAACGTTGCCACGGGCACCAGCCGCCATAGCAACCGCCAGGCGTTTTCCAGGTAGAGGCGGCCACTGCCAGCCCTGGGTGTCGGGGTTCTGGGGGGTTAGGTCTGGGAAGGCCTGGTGAGTGGGCCCCAGGCTGGTTTGGGAGGCGTCGCCCCAAAGTGTGTGGGGTGCTCTTGGCTCGCCTTTGTGCCCCTGTGAGTCCCTCAGGCGCCTGAACGCGAGAGGCAGGCCTGGGCGCAGGGGCAGCTCCTGTGGGCGTGGCCACCAATGCTGAGTGGTGCTGGGCGCTCAGGGAAGAGCTAGGGATCATCTGGGGGGCTGTCAGAATCGGGGACCATCTGGGGGGCTGTGCCTGGCCCCCACGGCAGGCTCTGGGGTGGGACACGGTCACTCCTGGTTCTGAAAGCTGCCAGGTGAGCCAGGTGCCACCCTGGCCGAGAACCGGTGGCCTGGAGGCTGGGGGACAGGTGTGGGCAGGGGGCAGGGGCGTGTCTGCCGGGAGAACCCCGGGAGCAGGGGCGCGAGGCCGGGATGGGTCTGGCCTGGTGTGGGAGAGCCGGGGCACCAGCCGCGAGTCTGGGCTGCAGCCACGGATGACGCTGATGCTGATGAGCTGTTGGGGCCGGACCCTCAGGGGGAGCCCCTGTGGCCCACAGAGGGGCAGGGTGGCGGGAGGCCGGGCGCCCTCCCCGCTGCACGGCCTTCCTTCCCTTCCATTCCAGGGTCCGCTGTGAACGGGAGTGCCCTGGGGAGATCGAGATGCCCGCTGCCAGAGGAGGGGTCCGGGGTGAGTCTCTCTGGGCGGCCAGAGGCTGAGCCTTCTGGGGGGGGGGAAAGGTGGTACAGTGCGGACTTGGCCCCCAGCACAGTCCACCCTCTGGATGCTGCTCCCCCCGGTCTCAGAGGGGCTGAGGGCGGGCAGGCTCCGCAGGCTCAGGGCAGGCACGAGTCCTGGCCTCGCCCATCTGCCCACAGGACCCCGCAGCCAGTCCCGCGTGAAACAGCCAAGGCGGGAAGGACAGCTTTCCCTGAGAGCGGTGCCCCGAGACCAAGCGCCTCCAGCCCCCGGCCAGGTAGGGGCAGAGCCTGGGAGGAACTGGGTGCAGATGGTGGGGGCGTGGCAGGGGCTGCCCATCAATGACAGAGGGGACCCCAGTCCTGGGACACCCCCTTTTTTTCTTTTTAAAACATACTTTTTATTTATTTCAGAGAGGAAGGGAGAGGGAGAGAGAAACATCAATGATGAGAGAGAATCACGGATCGGCTGCCTCCCGCACGCCCCACACTGGGGATGGAGCCCGCAACCCGGGCCTGTGCCCTGACCGGGAATCGAACCCTGACCTCCTGGTTCATAGGTTGAGGCTCAATGACTGAGCCACGCCGGCCGTCGGGACCACCCCTTTCTGTGGGTCTGGGCTAAGGTCCCCTCGGAAGAGCTGGGGTTCACTGGGTCCCCCTGGGCTCCAGCGTCCTCTTGGGGTCTGTTTTGTGCCTTTGGAACAGCGCCCCGGGGCGGAGGCCCTGATGTCTGAGGCCGAGGAAGCCGCCCCCAGAAGCCGGACCCCCGAGAGCCCGTCCAGGGGTCTGGCTCCAGCCACGGCCCTGCTGATCCAGCAGGTGAGGCTGGGCTACATGCAGGGGGGGCCCTGGGGTGGGGGTGGCCGGACCCCGGGGCAGCCCCCCAGCGAGACCCGCCACCTCCTCTCCTCCCTGAAGGCTCTGCTTCGAGGCGGCCTGGACAGCTTGGCGGCAGACGCCGGCTTCGTGTCGGCGACGGGCCAGGCCCTGGCGGAGGCCTGCCAGATGGAGCCGGAGCAGGTGGAGGTGGCGGCCACCGAGCTACTGAGAAGACGAGAGTCCCCCAAGGTCACGGCTGGCGCCCTGGGACCCCCGAGCCTGCGGTCCTCCGTGGGCAGCCTCGACCAGCGTCAGGGCTCCCAGGAGACCCTCATTCCCCCGGGGCCCTGAAACCCTCGGCCTCGGCCTGGGCTGGGGCCTCCGCGCCAGGGGGTGGGGTGAGGGGGGGGTGCAGGAGGGACATTGTCAGCCATCGGGGCAGCCGCCCGTCTCACAGCGAAGTTGGAGGAGGCCGCAGGCCCCTCTCCTCGCCAGCAGGGGGCGCAGTTCCAGGTCGGTCCCAGCATCATTGCCCCGTCGTGTCTGGACATTAAAGTCTCAGGCCTGAGACCGGGCACCTGGCCTCTGCTTGTCTCCTGTTCCAGGCCTCCCCTCCCCCGCCCCCGTCCCTTCCCCAGGAGCCCGCCGTGGCTGGGGGCCAGGCCCAGGGAGGCCAGAGGGGCCATCTGGACGGTCGTTCTGCGGGGAGAGCCCGGCGGCCCGAGGGCAGGTGCCAGCCCAGCCCCCTCCTTGGCGGCCGTGACCGGGTCTCACTGGACGGAGGCCGCTGCCCGCTCTGGCCTCAGCGGCCAGCTGTGCCTGTGTGTGGCCGTGGGCGTCCAAGGTCCCAGCGCCAGGCCCCTCTGGCCACAGGGGACCCAGTGCCTCCTGTACCCCAGCCACAGGCCTCGCCCCGGGCCCCCCCTCCTCCCTACAGAGCGCTTGCCCTCATGACCCCCTTTCGTGCTCACCTGGGGTCTCCCTTCAGTCCCATGGCGAGAGGAGCACGTGGTCATCTTCGCGTTGCGGCCGGGGACCCGACACGGGGAGTCCCTCCCGTGGCCGCCCAGGTCTCGGGGCCGGGCAGGGGCGGGGCTGGAACTCGACCCGGCATCTCCGTGACTCGGGGCTCCGCCCGGTGGCTTCTCGGCTGTCTCTGGTCCTTTTGTGCCGACTGGACTTTGACCTGAACTGTGAGCTCCCCTGCGGCTCCGCGTCAGAGGCTGACCTTTGGTCCTGGCGCGTGTGGGGCCGTGGAGACGCCCCGGTCTGGACAAGTCTCTCCACCTCCCTGGGCCTCAGTTTCTCCACCTGAAGGTGAAGGGGTGGCACTAGGTGGTCGTGGGGGGGCTCTTCCCCACTCGAGGGTCCGTGAGAGTGAGGGTCACCCACACCCGCTCCTGCCTTTGGCCCCCGAACTGTAATAGAAGCTACTGGAGCCCCGGCCGGTGTGGCTCAGTGGGTAGAGCGTCGGCCTGCAGACCGAAGGGTCCCGGGTTCGATTCCGGCCAAGGGCACGGACCTCGGTTGCAGGCGCGTGCACGAGGCAACCCATTGATGCGTCTCTCTCACATCGACGTTTCTCTCTGTCTCTCCCTCTCTCTTCTGCTCTCCCTAAAAATCAATAGAAAAATATCCCTGAGTGAGGATTTAAAAAAAGAGAGAGAAGCTGTTACTGGGGACAGGATTGGGTATAGAGCTTGTGTCTGAGGGGATACGGGTCGCCATTAAACCCCCAGTAACACTTGAAACCAAAAATAGCTGGTTTTTGGGGTGTTGGTGATCCACAGCGGCTCTCTCTCTCTCCCTCGCTATTTATAACCAAGTCTGGTTTCCTCTACGGCTAAGTTTGTCTCCTTCGCAACAGAGGAAGTCAGGCCCAGCCCGCGTCCGAGCTAAGACCTCAGAGTCTGCACCCCGATAACAGACCCTCTCGGGGGGCTGGGGCCCTGCGGACAGGGGGCGTCTGGGCTCCGCCTCCGGGTGGGCACTGGAGGGTGTGGCCAGCCCGCTGCCCGCAGGGTCTCCCACGGAACCGAGTACAGCTGCTGGGGTGGGGCTGGCGGCCCCGAACTCTGGACTTGCCACCCAGGATGTTAGGTCAAAGCTCAGACGGCTCCTGCAGGTGCCAACGCCTACTTCTAGCCCTAGAGGGGCCCTGGTTGGTGTTGCCCAGTGGTTAGAGTGTCGGCCTGCACACCAGACGGTCTTGGGTTCGATTCCTGTCAAGGGCTCCTGCCTGGGTTGCTGGTCTGATCCCTGCCCCCGGTCAGGGTCAGGGTCAGGGTCGGGGGCGGGGGGAGGGGGGCATGTGCGGGAGGCAACCAATCGATGTGTCTCTGATACATCGATGCTCCTCTCCTCTCCCTCCCTCCCTCCCTCCCTCTCTCGACCCCCTCTCTTCCACTCTCTCCAAAAATCCATGGGAAAAATGTCCTCACTCCCTGGGTGAGGGTTAAAAAAAAGACAGAAGATGAAGCGGAAGTGGACTCAAGGCCAGGCCACCCCCCCCCCCCCATCCTGCTAGGGCCTGAGGGCAGCTCTCGGGGCTTTGATTTGTCGCTGTGGGTCTGCGCCTGAGAGATCTGGGCCAGATGGCGGCCCCCAGTCCCGCTGAGTATTTTAACTGCCATAGCGTGGGAGCTTCCTGCCTGGAGAGCACCCCCCACCCCACTCCCCCCTCCCCCGGATCCCTGGCAGGAGTCATGATGGAGGCCCAGGATGCCTGGGGGTAGGGCCGCAGCTCAGGGCATGAGTGGGGCCCAAACTCCAGTCCATGAGGGGCTCAGGGCCAGGCACAGGGCAGTGTGTGTGTGTGTGTATGTGTGTGAGTGAGTGTAAGTGTGTGGGTGTGCGAGTGTGTGTGTCTGTCTGTCTGTTGGGCCCAAGGACAGGGTTGGGGTGGGTGGGAAATGCATACAGGCGTCTGATCTGAAGGAACTTCGGGGTTTGGGAAGGAGGGAGCAGAGAAGGCAGCTGGGAGGGGGGTGGGGTGGGAACGGCCCAGCGAGGAGGCCCTGGCTGCGCTGAAGCTGGACAGAGGCGGAGGGGACTGTCCCAGGCTGCCTCTGACCTGCCTGCCTGAGCCTCCCCAAGCTGCTGTTTGAACCTCTCCCTGCCTCTCGGGCTGCATCTGACCGCTGACCGCTGTGACCAGTGACCGCCTCGCCTCCGGGCAGCAGTGCCCGGGAGTCGGGGTCTGGACCTCTGGCTGCCCTGCCGCTCCCTGGAAGCCCAGGAGGCACGCTGAGGGGCTGGTGTGGCTGACCCAAGGCCCCCGCCTCCAGGAGGCCCTCCAGGAGTTTCCAGCTGCTGAGCCTCCCGGTTCAGGTTTACCTGACACCCTGTGGCCGGGAGGGTGGGTGAGGCAGCGGCTCTGGTGCCACTTCCTGGCAGTGAGGCTGTGTGTCAGAGGGTCACCTACTCTCGGAAGACGGGGGGACTTCCTGGAGGCAGGAAGCCCGAGTTGGGCCCCAGAGAATGCACAGTCTGACTGGGCGGGCAGGAGGCTTTACAAAATGCAGCCTCGCCATTGCCAGGGCCATGGGGAGGGCTGCCCTGCAGCAAAGGCCAGGGCCAGCCTGGCTCCCGCCGCCCGGGCAGCTGCTGGGAAGCGATCTGGGGAATCTGGACCCAGGCACACGAGTTCGAATCCTGCGTCTGCTGCTTCTATGCTGGGTGAGACCCGTTTCCCCTCTGCAAAACCTCACAGGAGTGATAACGCCTACCTCCCAAGGTTGTGAGAATGAAAGGAGAACACGCAGCCCGGCCGGTGTGGCTCAGGGGTTGACCAGCGACCTAGGCACCAGGAGGTCAGGGTTCGATTCCCGGTCAGGGCACAGGCCTGGGTTGCGGGCTCCATCTCCAGTGGGGGGGCGTGCAGGAGGCAGCCGATCAAGGATTCTCTCTCATCATGGATGTTTCTCTCTCTCGCTCTCCCTCTCCTTTCTTCTCTGAAATCAATAAAAATACATTTTTTAATGAAAGAACATGCATATAATAAAGTACCTTGTTCACGTCCATGGCCCATAAGCGTGGTTTCCCCCGCCACCCCCCCCCCGCACCCCCCCTTTGGTGGATGGACGGGGAGAGAATGCCCAGAACGTGACCCAGGCCGCCTGCTCTGGGCGGAGGACCTACCAGCCCTGCAGCTCCCTCTAGATCCGCAGGGAGTGGAAGGTGCAGGCCCCACGGGGCCTCGCTCCCCGCCTCCACCTGCAGGTTCCCATCCTGCTCTCCATCAGGAAGGAGGCGGGGGTGTTTATAAGGGATCTGGGCTCCCGGATGGAGCAGGGACCTGTGGGCTGGGTGGGGAGAAGGGGAGAGAGGCTGGCACCCCGGGGTACACCCTCAGACCCCGCCCCGCACCCTCGCCCCAGTCGCTCACGTGGTTTCATCATCCCCGGGTGATGCAAGAGGCTCGGGGCCAGGCTCCCCATCCTCCCCACCCCCACCCCAGAGAGCTCCCTCCACATCTGGGTCCTGGGCTGGGTCCCTGCCCAGGAAGGGCGCTGGTGGACACGAGGGTGGGCAGGCAGCTGGCGAGGGGGCCTGTGAATGGCCCCAATGTTGGGCATCGGAGGCGGAGAGAAGGGGCCTGGGCTCAGCGGGAGGGGAGGCAGATGGACAGACTTCTCCGCCATCATCTCCCTGCGTTTAAAGGCCCAGGGCACCCTTGTCCTTTATGCCCCTATCCCCCACCCACCTCGCCCCCCAGCCCCTCCCCAGGTGCCCAGTTGAGTGGCCCCTTTGTCCCCTCCTGTCCTCGGGGCACCTGGGGCCTCCCACACGGGCCCTCTGCCCCCCGAGACCACAAGGAGCAGAGTGTGAGCCTGTGGCCGCAAAGGTCACCTTGGGAGGGCAAGGCCCGGGCCAGGGACTCGCGGAAAGATGGGCTGAATGGAGCCGCAGGCTGGAGGGGCAGGGACAGGAAACACCGGCCTGGACCCCCTCCCTCCAGGCCGGCAGGTTCGCTGGGACAGAGGGGGGGGCCCCCCCCACAGCTGCTCATCTCTGCGGTGCCGGGAGACCTGGGTTCTTACCCGCGTGCAGCCACTAACTCGCTGTGACCCTGGGTAGTTCCCTCTCTGCGTCCCAGCTTCCTCATTTAGAAAACGGGGTTCCCCCCCAAGCCGGGGTTCCCCTCCAAGCCGGGGGTCCCGCGCGGCCCACGGGTCGCCACGCGTGGCCCCTCCCCCGGGGCCCCCACTCCCGCCGGCGCCCCCCTCCCCATACCCAGCGCACGGCTCGGAGGCGCGCCAAGAGGTCGTTTTAAAGGCTCCAGCCACGCCCCCTGCTGCCGGATCCGGCCTTCGATTGGCGGGCTGGGCCGAGGGCGGGGCCGAGGGCGGGGCGGGGGCCTAGGCTAGGGGCGGGGCCTGGACCGGGCCGGCCCCCGCCCCCTTTGTCCGCGCGGTGGTGCGCGCTGGTGGCGGCGAGGTGGGCGGTGCGCGCGGGCGGGAGGTGTGCGCGCGGGTCCCCGGCCGTCCCCGCTGCGGCGCCGCGCCTCCCGCCTCCCGCCGCCTGGGGCCCCGGCCCCCCCGGACCCGGGTCCCCGATCCCCGCCCCGACCCCGGCCATGGCCGGCCAGGGGGACTGCTGCGTCAAGGTGGCCGTCAGGTAGGGGCCGGCGGGCGGGGAGCGCGCGAGGGGCTCGGGCTTTGTGTCGCGTGGGCGAGGGGCCGCTGGGTCCCGGAGCCCGCACCCCGCACCCCCCGCCCCGGAGGAGGCGCCGCGTGGGCCCCGCGGGCACCCCGAGCGCGGGCTGCGGGAAGGCGGCTTTGTTTGGGTGGTCATGCCGGGCCCCCTCTGGGGAGCCCTTAATGATCCGAAAATCGAACAAACAAGGAAATCCGGTATTTCACACCCAAGCCCTGGCCCAGGCGGGGCGTCGGCGTGTTTCCTCTTCGCCTCCCCACGGGGCTGCTGTCTCGCAGCGGGATGTCGGGGGGACATTTCCCCTCGTCCCCCCTCCCCCCTCGCCCGGGCGGGCTGGGTCTCTCGCTCTGGGTCAGTCCGGGCCGGCAGCTCCCCGCCCGGGAGCCTGCAGACAAAGATTGGTGCCTGCTCCGTGGGGAGGCGAGGACCCCGCTGTCCCTGCCCCGGGCGGAGAGGGCAACTGGGGACAGAGGAAGGGATGTACCTGGGGCTCCGCCTCAGGGGCCGCCCAGCGCGTCTGGGACCTGAAGGGATGGCCTGACCTTTGAGGTTGGGGAGCGGACAGGCTGGGGGGGCGGGGAAGGCTGCAAAGTTGAGCACCAGGTGCCCTTTGTTGGGGGAAGACCCCCCTAGACCACACGCCCTCTCGCTGTCCTCGTGCTGGGTTTGTCCCTTGGAGGGGGGTCCCCATGAGGCAGGGGCGGTGGAGAGGAATGCCCAGCCCTGGGTGGTGGGTGGGGGTCTGGGGTCCAGGTCTCTGAGCCAGGTGGTAAGTGACCCATATTCCAGGAGCCCGGGAAAGGGGGGGTCACCTAGACGGTGGTAAAGCGCCCCCCCTCCTGCCCCAGGACACAAGTCCCCAGCCACCTGGCCAGGCCCCTGCGGCCCAGAGAGAGGGGGGTCAGGGGGGCTACCGCTGGGCCTCTGGGGTCGAGGCTGGGAGACCAAGGTGCCCACTCCCCCCACACCGCCACGTGCCAGGCTGCACCACTGGGGTGTCGCTGGGGCACAGCTCTGCCCGCCCAGCAGACAAAGGGGAGCCCGCAGGTGCCTGGTGGGCTGGCGGGCGGGGCCAGGCTGCTGCAGGGCTGACTTTGCAGCAGGAAGCGGTGGAGGTCGAGGGAGGGAGGGAGGGAGGGAGGGAAGACGGACAGATGGGGGTCTGGGTGGGGGTGGGGTAGGAGCGAGAAGTGTAAGTCTGGCATCGCTAGCAGACCGGAGGAGTCCGTGTGCCCAGAAAAGCCCCCACCCACCACCAGGAACCAGGCTTGGGGGTGGGGGGTCTTTGCTTTCGACTCCATCTTGCAGGAGAGCGCCAGCCAAAGCCCCCTCCCTGTGCCAGAGGGTGCCCCGGGGCGCGGCCAGGGGTGGAGGACTGAGGGAGAGAGAGCTGGGGTTCCCTTCCCCCCCAACAGAGGTCCCTGGGATGCTTGCCACAGAAAGGGGACTGGGCCCGCCCACTGCACCCCATTCTTCGCAGGGACTGGCCTCATCTCTGCTGCCCACTCAGCTCGCCCAGGGAGAGGGGGGTGCCCACTCCTCGCCTGAGCTGCTGATTGGGTGACGGGTGGGGGGATTCGAGAATCAGACAAGCCCCGGTTTCAGGGCTCCTGGAAGGTGAGGGCCCGCCCGGGTCGCCCTCCCACCTCAGCGGGAGTGCCCGCCTGGCACACGGCCTGGCACACGGCCTGGCACATGGCAGACCTCAATGGGCAGCGGGCCGTGGAAGGCACACATGCCGGACACAGCTGAGGACGGGCCCGGCTGTCAGGGAGAGTTCCTCGGTTCCCGGGTCCCCCGCCAACCCCACCCCCACCCCCAGGAACCTCTTGCCCCCCTAAAGCACCGCATGGGGGGCTGGAATAGACTGGGGACGACCGAGGTTTGGGGGTCACCGAGGCTTGCCCATCACCGGTGCCGTGCTCTCGGACTTTGTACAAGTCCCTTCTTTTTTGTTTTTTAATATATTTTTACTGATTTCAGAGAGAGAGAGAGAAACATCCATGATGAGAGAGAATCGTGGACCGGCTGCCTCCTGCACGCCCCACACTGGGGACGGAGCCCGCAACCCGGGCCTGTGCCCCGACCGGGAATCGAACCGTGACCTCCTGGTTCACAGGTCGACACTGGACCGCGGAGCCGTGCCAGCCAGGCTGGAGTCCTCTCTTGTCTGTAACTGGGCTGCTTTCTGACGCCCTGTGAGCATCACTTGCCCTGAGCCCAGCGTCCAGCGAGCCCAGGTCCAGCTCATGGGGCCCGGAGGCCAGGGCCGGGGGTTGCGGGGCAGCTTTTAGCCCAGCTGAGAAGTGCCAGGCCCAGAGCTCCAGGGACCAGGGCCAGAGCCGCTGTCCTGTCCGCCGGTCCCTGCAGAGGAGGCCTGGGCTGGGGCAGAGCCTGAGGGGCACTTTCAGGACCTGGGCTGTGGGGAAGGGGGTAGGAAGGTCTAGGTGTGAGACCCCCCCCTAGAGCCCCCCCCTCCAGGCCTCCTGGATCCTGGCCCCTCGGCCTCTGCACCCTTGGCACCAGGAGATGGCCAGGCCAGGGCGCATCTGCCCGCCCTCCCTCCCTCCACTAATCCCCTGCAGGATAAGGACCTAGAGCCGGCCTCCCCGGGGGAGGGGGCGCCGCTGCCTCAGGGCGGGAGAGAGTGTGTGTGTTGGGGGGGGCAGCTGCTAGGAAGTGCAAGCTGGCAGAGTTCAAATTGGGGAAGGAAGCCAACCACATGGCATGTTTATTTAAGACCCTTCTTCCCCCCCCCCCCCCCCCCCCCCGCCGCCTCTGGGCCCCCACCACGGGCGCCCTCAGTGCGGCCTGACCCCCTCCCCTTATCTCTGCCCCATTTCCTTAAGCTTCCTTCCTTCAGGCTGCTGGGAGGGGGGGCCTCGGCCAGCGGAGCAGGGACTGGGAAGAGGACTGGGGGGCGGGGGGGGGGGGAGGGGCTGCCATATTTCCCTAGTTCCCGCTACTCTGACATCGTCCGTGTCCATCTGAATTTTGGATCGAGAGAATTGGTGACTGCTCTGGCCCATGTGGCTCAGTGGATAGAGTGTCAGCCTGGGGACTGCAGGGTCCCGGGTTCGATTCCGGTCAAGGGCGCATGCCTAGGGCTGCCGGCTCGACCCCCAGTAGCGGGCGTGCAGGAGGCAGCCGATGGATGATTCTCTCATTGATGTTTCTCTCTCTCCCTCTCCCTTCCTCTCTGAAATCAATAAGAATATTTTTTTAAAAAAGAGAGAGAATCGGTGACGGGACGGAGAGACCGAGGAGACAGAAACAAGCGTGTAAGGGCCGCGCCGTCCCACCCGGGCCCCGGGCAGGCGGCCCCCCAGACCTGAGCCCTTGGGGAGGCCTCCCGTGCAGGCACAGGGCTTATGTCATCGCAAGGAAGTGGCCTGTAGGAACCACAGCCCCGGAAGCCGCTCCCCTCCCCCGCCCGGCAGCCGACCTGATTGGATGAAGGCTTTTCAAAACCTCTACCGGAGAGAGGTGGGGTGGGGCCGGGCCGGGGAAGTGTCCGGGCGACACCCTCACTCTTCCATCGCGGGGCGCAGGGCAGGGCGGGGCCCCGGGTGCCTGTTCTGTCCGCATCTGGGCCTCAGTTTCACCCTCCGCAGAATGGGGACAGCGGGTCGGCTCCTCAGCAGTGGGTGGGCATAAAGTGTTTGGAAATAAGCCCTGCCCGGCCGGCCGGCCTGGCTCCGTGGTTGAGCACCGACCGACCTAGGAACCAGGAGGTCACGGTGCGATCCCCAGTGGGGGGCATGCAGGAGGCAGCCCATCCACAATTCTCTCTCATCATTGATGTGTGTGTCTCTCTCTGAAACCAATAAAAATATATTAAAAATAAGATAAAAAACAAATCCCGCTTCCCTCTCGTGCTGAGGGAGCGTCAATTCCCCTGGACGTGCGGTCTCCGTCCTGTTCCCGAGACGGTGGCCTGGGCCCGGGGCCCATGTGGGGGGCGAGGCTCCCCGTCCCCGCGGCCCGCGCTCAGCCCTGCCTGTTGCTCCGCATTCCTCCGCAGGGACCGTCCCCAGGGCCCCTGCCCTGAGCTCCCCCCCCCCCCGCCCCCCACGTGCTGATGCTGTCACACGCCAGCTCTGGGCGCCGCAGCTCCGTCTCCCGGGAGGTCATGGGAAACCCCGCCAGATGCCCTGAGACCGGCGGCAGCTGAACGGGTCCCTGAGCTGGGCTTGTGCTTCCCAGGCTCCGGCCCCGGCCTCGGACTCACACGGGCGGAGCATGTGGGGTCTGTCCAGCTCCGGGCAGGGTCTGGCCCCGTCTCTCGGCTCCTCGCACCCCTGTCTGCTCCCCGACTTCTGACTGTCATCCCGCTCTGCTGGCCCGTTTCCTCCCCTTGCCTGATTTCAGCCTTTCTGGGGGTACCCTGGGGGGGCCTTGGACAAGGTTCTCCCCCAGGTGCCCCCCCCCAGTGGACCGCCTGTCCCTGAGCCGGACTCTGGGGTGAAAGAGGAAGGTCCAGGACCCCCGCCCCCCAGGAGGGAGTGGGTCACAGCTCTGAACCCCGTGCTCCCTGAGCTGACACCCGAGGTTTCGCGGAGGTTTCCCGGGGGAGCCCAGGCCCCTCTCCCCGGGCCTGCAGGGGCCTCCGCAACCCATGCCCTTTGACCCCACAGCACAAAGCCTTCTTGTCTGGGGTCCTTTCTCTGAGGGCGGCGGGGAGGGTCTGAGAGGCCAGGAGAAGGTCTGGGGGAGGGGGACGGGCAGCGGGACCCTCTGGCTGCCACGGGCTCTGTGCTCTCCCCTCTCTGCACCCCTGCAGCGAAAGGGCCAGCACCCCCGATGGGACTCACACCCTGTTTGATGATTCGATTTTTAATATATTTATTATTATAATTTAAAGAAGTATTTCTTTCTTGATTTCGGAAAGAGAGGAACATCAGTGATGAGAGCGAATCACTGATCGGCTGCCTCCTGCCCGCCCCTCACTGGGATGGAAC